CCCCACCCCAGCCCGCCGCCGTGCGGCCCCGGCCGGGCTATGGGCCCTCTTCAGGTACCGGGCACCGAGGCGGGGAGGGATGGCACCCTGCGCCCCTGTCCCCCATCCCAGCACCCTGCCTGGGCGCCCAGGCTGACCCCCTTCCTCCTCTCCTCACCCCCAGCCTCTGGCACTCCCCGGAGCTGCTCTCCGACATCCAGGACGGCTACAGCATCTCAGGGCACCTGCTGGTCTGCTTCTCCTCAGGTAAGGAGCCAGGCAGGGCGATGGCGGCGGCCACCCCGCCAGGCTCTGCCCACTCCCTTCTTCAGCCTCGCGCGGCACGCTGGCCCGGGATGATCATGGGCCGGGTGACTCTCCGTGCCTCCTGCTTTGATCGCGAGCACGGAGCCCGCAGGCTGCCAGCCCCCGGGGCCCAGCCGTCTCCCCACGCTCAGCCGGGGCGGAGGCGTTTCCGACGCCTGGAGCACGGTCACGCCACCCTCCTCCTCCTTGCTGCTCCCCCTTACCGCAGTGGGTGACGATGCACAAGCCAGACCCCCCCTCAACGCTCTCTCCCTCATCCCGCAGGCTACTTCATCCACGACAGCCTTGACATCATCTTCAACCACCAGTCCCGCTCCTCCTGGGAGTACCTGGTGCACCATGCCATGGTGAGTACGGCCCCAGGGAGACAAAGGGCCAGCACGGGGCGGGGGGGGGGGCTACCACGCACCCCAGGGCTCAGCCCATGCAGGTTTCGTGTGCTACGGCAGGGCAAGCCAGAGCCCTTCCCTCCACCTCACCCTGGCTGCCAGGTAGGCTGCGCATCAACAAGGCGAGGGCGCCTGGCAGGGCAGGACACTTGCCAGCATCGGCTCCGAGCACCGGGAGCCAGACAGGCTGCTGTGCCGGGCGAGGGAAGAGCCGGAGGCTGGTCCCAGCTCCCCGCGCAGGGAGGTGTAACTGGTCCTGGGGGAACTGGCTCTCCAGACTGGTTTTCCCTTGGCCCAGGTGCTTGGGGGGGCTGCTGGGATCTCCGGGTGGGAGGAGCAGCACCGCGTATGCCCAAACCTTGGTGGGGGAAGGACTCGCCTCCCCCAGGGCGAGGAGAGCTGACCCTGCTGTGTCCCCTCCCACTCCTAGGCCATCTCTGCCTTCGTCTCGCTCATCATCACAGGCCGTTTCCTGGTGGCGGCGATACTGCTGCTGCTGGTGGAGGTGAGCAACATCTTCCTCACCGTCCGCATGCTGCTGAAGATGAGCAATGTGCCTTCCCCGGCGCTCTACGAGGCCAACAAGTACGTCAACCTGGTGATGTACTTCGCCTTCCGCCTGGCACCCCAGGCTTACCTCACCTGGTACTTCCTCCGCTACGTGGAGGTGCAGGGCCAGGGTGCCTTCCTCACTGCCAACCTCCTGCTGCTCGACGCCATGATTCTCATGTACTTCTCCCGACTCCTCCGCTCCGATTTTTTCCCCTCCCTGCGCAAGGGCTCTGCAGGGAGAGATGTGGATGGTGAGAAGTTTCTGATAGACTGAGATGTGCGCGCCGAGGGGGACCCAGGCTCCGGCTCCTGGAGGTCTTGGCCTCTCCAAACCTGCTCTGATGTGCCTTAGGGCTCGCTCCCTGGCCCCGGGCCCTGCCTTCACCCGCTCTGCTGCCTAAAAGCGCTTCCCTGCTGGACCAGCCCGACAGCCTCGCCGAGCCGCGGGGATGCCGCCGAAGCCAGGGGCACAGCTGATGGAAAAGCAGCCCAAGCCGGCTTCCGCGCAGGCAGCTGGAGGGCCAGAGGTGGCTGTGTTTCACAGCTGATGGCCTGAGAGGGTTGTGAGGGAAGGGACGAGTCCCTCCCGTGGTGATGTTGGGTGTTACGTGCATTAAAATCGGTCTGTTTACTGCTGCCGCAGCACGCCTGGGCTGGCTTTTCTGTGGGGCAGAGCGGCGTCAGGGGGAGGATGGGTGGGGGACAGGGCCATGGGAAAGGATGTGCCCCTGTTCCCAGCGGAGGACAGCTGGCAGTCCTCAGGGAGGGAGAGGGCACGCTTCTGCCGCTCACTTTGTTCTAGGGACCCTCCAGGGATGCGCTCAAGTCTGCTGGGTCCTGCCAGCCCAGCTGCACCACGCTGAGCCTTGAATAGCAAGACCCCATCTCTCCCACGGATGGGTCCCTCCCCTCCTCCTCACTCATCTGCTCTTCCAGAGACCCAGGGCTGTGCAGGGAGCAGGGGAAGGGAGCCAGGAGAGGTACCGAGCCTTGCTGCAGTCCCTGACCTGCCTGTCTCCAGCCTGGCGGCAAGGAGCCTGGCTGGGCTGCATGACTCACCCGGCAGCCACGTGAAGTGGAGCTGGCATGGGAAAGCCGTGTGAGGCCATGGGCTCTTCCTGGAAGACTGCTGCATGCTCGCATCCCCCCAGAGCGATCTTCACCGGCATAGCACAGCTCCAGCCCCCTGCGAGCGTGCTGGGCCCTCTCCCGCAGCGGCAGGACCAGGCTGCCTCCAGCAGCCCCCCCCCCCGCAGAGCAGCAGGAGGAGAGAGGGGGTTCAGCTCCCCAGGAGAGCGGGGCCAGAACCGGCCCAGCCGGTCCTGTGGAGCCCCAGAGCATCGGGAAGGCAAATCCTGCTGACGTGACAGCCCTGGGATTGCACTGGACTGGCAGAAAGTCGTGGGGTTTGGAGGGACTCCTGCCCAGCCCCTGCTCCAGGGCAGGATCTGTCCTACCAACCCCACCGCCAGACACGCT